TGATCTCGTGGAGCCAAAGGCTCTTCGTCTGAACCTCCCTATGAAATGGTGGGTTTGTGTGTGTGTGTGTGTGTGTGTGCGTGTAGTCTTTTCAGGTTTAAGCTTTCTCAGTACTAGCCTCGGATGTATACTCTGCTTCCTTAGCGTAGTTGTGCTCTTGAGGGGAGTCTCGGGCCGTAAGGGGTTCAGACTCAAGGGCTTCGGGTTGCACCGTCTGTGGCCAGATGCTGTCGGCAGATTCGCTTACGTGTGAACTCACAGAGTGTTTGCTGTATATCCCGCATTATTTGCCAGCTGTCTCTGCACGTGTGTTCGTGTCTGTCGCTGTTTGTGTTCAGGCCTGTTTTGGGGCGCAGGCCCCCCGAGCTGCCGCGGCAGCAGACCGTGCTGAAAGAAGTGCTCGCTCGGGCGGGAGAGGCATGAATCATCCACATCTTTCTTACTATCGATGTTGTTGAGGACGGGAGACGGACCTCGGTGACAGGATTCAGTATTGGGATTTCTCTTCACTATCGTGCGTGTGTGTGTGTGTGTGTGCGTGTGTGGCTCCGCTGCCCCCCCCAGAGGGAGGTTGCATACGCTGCCCCAGGGGGCAATGGGGCCCGGTGGCCCCAGTCGCTTCCCGTGGGCCGCGGCCGCCGCGGGGCCAGCGCAGATCGGCGGCGGAGCCGTCGCTGTCGGTCCGCTTCTCGGGGCTGTTGGTTCGCCTCTGGGGGCCGAAGGATCGACCAACAAAAACTCCGACGGAATAACCCCACATAAGAATCCTCTGGGCGAATCTGGAAAAAGCCATCACCGTCGTCCTCGTGGTTGGTGAGGCGTCCTGGCTGTCTCTTCTGCGTATATTTCCTCTCGCCTTGGCGCGGGCCCCCCTTCCACTCCTTACGTTGTCCCCATCCTCGCCCCCCTGTTTGTTCCGCGCCCCGCCACCTCCTCCCCTTCCTGTTGCATGAGCGCGCATGTCGATGTTCCTCGGCGCCGTCGCCGCCACGGCCAGCACAGGCGCGTTCTCTACTGGTCACGTCGCGCAGCCGTTGGGACAACCCCGCGGGCCAGGCTGTCGGGACAACCCCGCGAGCCGTTGGCGCGCAAGACCAAGCCGTTGGGACAACCCCGCGGGCTTCGAGCGAGGCGCAGCCGCGCTCAGGCGGAAGGCAGCACGAAGCCCAGCTCTGCCGCGAGCTGCTTCGCCTCCGCCCTGGACAAAACCGCTCTCTTGTCGAACTCCAGGAGCGCCTTCCGCAGGGACGCCGGCGGCCCGCACTCCAGGAACTCTCGCGGCGGCGGCCGCAGGATCAGCATGTTCCGCATGCACGTGGCGCGGGAGAACATGACGTAGAGGTGCAGCCACCACTGCTCGTCCGACATGCCCGTGCGGCCAGCGTCCTCGTCTCTCGCGCAGTCGATGGTGACGCCCTTGCGCAGCGTCTGGCCCTGCGACAGCGTGGAGGTCAGGTAGGACGCGTGCGTCAGGGTGAACCCCGAGCGGCGCACGCTGTGCGCCCCCGAGCTCTGCCATGTGAACTCCCTTTCGCTGGGCCTGAACATCAGCAAGCTCCGCGCCCGCGCCTCGGCCTGGCCGTCGTCGTCGGCGCCTTCGGCGCCCTGTCGCAGCACCTCGGCGACCTGAGGAGCCCAAAAACTTCCTTGTTGCGTCCAAAATGTGGCCTGGGAACTGCGTTCTGGCAGCGCGAGAACCCAAAATTGACGACAGTTACAGGTTTTGGATGACCCGCTCGGATTACCAACATGATTGCGGGCCCCATAGGGAGGGGGCTCCCGCCTGAGACTTCCTCGCATTCACTCACAGACGAGGCTCCCGCCTGAGACTTCCTCCATATTCAGGCTTGAGGAGCCCAAAAGTGACGACAGTTACAGGGTTCCGATGACCCGCTCGGATTACCAACATGATCTGCGGGCCCCATAGGGTGGGGGCTCCCGCCTGAGACTTCCTCACAATTCACTCACAGACGAGGCTCCCGCCTGAGACTTCCTCCAAATTCAGGCTTGACGAGCCCAAAAGTGACGACAGTTACAGGGTTCCGATGACCCGCTCGGATTACCAACATGATCTGCGGGCCCCATAGGGAGGGGGCTCCCGCCTGACCTTCCTCAAATTCACTCACAGACGAGGCTCCCGCCTGAGACTTCCTCCAAATTCAGGCTTGAGGAGCCCAAAAGTGACGACAGTTACAGGGTTCCGATGACCCGCTCGGATTACCAACATGATCTGCGGGCCCCATAGGGAGGGAGCTCCCGCCTGAGACTTCCTCCCAATTCACTCACAGACGAGGCTCCCGCCTGAGACTTCCTCCATTTTCAGGCCTGGGGAGCCCAAAAGTGACGACAGTTAGAGGGTTCCGATGACCCGCTCGGATTACCAACATGATCTGCGGGCCCCATAGGGAGGGGGCTCCCGCCTGAGACTTCCTCACAATTTACTCAACGATGATGAGGATGAGGATGATGAGTGGTGGTGAAGATGAGTATTGAAGAGGATGATGATTGATTGTGAGTGGTGGTGGCGATGATGATGTTTGAATGAGGATGATGCCGATGCCGATGATGATGATGATGATGATGTTCGTGAGCGTGTGAGAGAGTGCGAGTGATGATGATGATGAGTATGTGAGTGACTAAGCATGTGAGAGAGCATCATCGATGATGCTGATGAGGTTGATGATGAGAGAGTGTGAGTGAGTGTGAGTGGGTGTGTGTGTTCCTGTTCCTGCGCGGGGTGTCCAGAGAAAACAAGAACCCCACTTTGGATGTGGGGAAAAATTCACTACACCACCCCACCTACGGCACGCCGTGCTGGATGTTGGCGACCTTGCCTCGCTGTCCTTCGCGTGGTGCTCCCTGGCTGGAGTGTTGGTGGCGCACTGTCTCTGAATGTGCGGTGAGTGTGATTCGAGGCGCCGCTGCGCGCCCACTGCCTGGGCGAGGTCTAGAGGCCCAGCGGTGATTTGTGATTCGCACTTGTCGGTTGCCTCGACGGGTCGCTTCTCAAGGTCCCGGATGAAAGCCTGCCAGGGCTGGCGAGGAGAGGTATTCCCGACAGTGGCAGCTGGGGAGTCTTCGCCACCGAGGTCTGTTTCTGGTCGGCCAGGAAGTCCTTCGGCTTCGTGCAGGGCAACGTCGATGTTGGGCTCCGAAGTCTTGATGTGGATGGGCCCTCGGCCTTCCTGCCCAGCGGCAGCGTCCTCGTAGTAGCTGGCGTGTTTGTCCTCGGGGTCGTCCTTAGCCTGCGTAACCTCCTGCGGCTTCGTGGCCTTGTCAGCGAGCTTGACCACGCGCGGGGCGGGGAGCGAGCCTTCTCGGTATTTGTGGCCTTCTGGGCGCAGGTGGCCTTCTCGGCGCTGTCGGTGCCCTCCGAAACGTCCACGGTGGTGGCGCCGCGCACGAGGCCAGGGATGAAATCCTCGGCTTCTGCGTTGAAGGTAAACTGGTTGCTGTGTTTGGGCCCTTGGGCCCTTGGACAGCTGTTCTTTTTGGCTGTTGCTGGGTCCTCCCCCCTCGGGTCCTCTAGCTGGCCTCTTCGCGCCAGCGCCCTGGAAGGCGCCCTGGCCCCCCCCTCTTTTACGTTGCCTTCCTGTGACAGAGCTGCGAGTGCAGCTCGGGTCGTGCTGTGGTTGCCCTGCTTGTGCCACCATTGGTTCCGCTCGTCGATCTCGTCTTGCATCCTCTCGATGATTTCGGTGATTACCGCCAACTTCACGTAGGTCATGTGGCGCGCGCGGGCTTGCCCGCCCTTCCGCGCACCCCGACGGGCCTTGTCCCAGAGGTCGTGGGTTCCGCTCTCCATGAGGTTGTGGTTGAGATCCTTCTTGTTGGGGAGAGGGCCCACTCCACGCGCTGCTGGAACGCGTCCTGCCAGTGCCAAGCCATGACTGCCGTCTCGGCGTCGGCTGCCGCGGGCCTGGCGCAGGGCTTCAGGGTCACACGGGAGACCCCCTGCCGCGGGCCTGGCCCGCAGCGGCCGCTGGGCATCGCGGGCGCCACGGCCGCGGGCAGCGCTGCCTGCCGCCATGGCGCGCTGCCGGGCGCCGCGTCTGAGCGCCGCCCGTTGGGCCCCTGCGGCCCCTCCCCGGGCGCGGGGGGGTGATTCTCCGCAGATGGCGCTTTCGTCCTCCTGCTTCTCCTCGCTCCTCCTCCTCCTCCTCCTCCTCCTCCTCCTCCTCCTCCTCGTTCTTCCTCCTCCTCCTCCTCCTCCTCGCTCCTCCTCCTCTTCCTCCTCCTTCCTTATCCTCCTCCTCGTTCCTTATCCTCTGGCGGCCCTCGGCGGACGTCGGCTACCTTTAGTGGCCCTCGGTGGCACAGGCAGCGGTCCAGAGGGCGGCAAGGCGTCTTCGTCGTCGTCGTCGTCGTCGTCGTCGTCGTCGTCGTCGTCGTCGTCGTCTCCGCCGCCGCCGCCGCCGCCGCCGCCTCTTTCGGCGGCCCGCCCATGAACGCCGACGTGCCACACCTCGTCGCCGTCCTCGTCATCCCCACCACTTCAAGGTTCGAGCTCAACGTTTTCGGGCGTATTCGTTGGTTTTCGGAGGTTTTCCAGCCTGCTTTCCAGCAGTACCGAATTTCTGCTGGGGAGCCGAGTGATGACCTGACAACCAGGTGGTTGGTCGAACGGCGGTCGGCGGCGCGGGCGAAGGGGGGGGGGGAGAAGAGGAGGAGGAGGAGGAGGAGGAGGAGGAGGAGGGGAGGAGGAGGAGGAGGAGGAGAAAGAGGAGAGGAGGAGGAGGAGGAAGGAGGAGGAGGAGGATGAGGAAAGGGAGGCGGAGGAGGAGGAGGAGGAGAGGGAGGAGGAGAGGGAGGAGGAGGAGGGAGGGAGGAGGAGGAGGAGGAGGAGGAGGAGGAGGGAGGAGGAGGAGGAGGAGGAGGAGGAGGAGGAGGAGGAGTTGGAGGAGGCGGTGGAGGAGGAGGAGGAGGAGGAGGAGGAGGAGGAGGAGCAGGAGGAGGAGGCGGAAGAGGAGGCGGAGGCGGAAGAGGACGGCGGCGCGAAGGTACACACCCCGGCAGCCCGCATGTCTTTCGCGCCGATGGACGCCGATGGCGCCTTCGGCGGCGCGGCGAGCCCGCGACCGCCGCGCGCCGCCGCCGCCGAGGGGCGCGCGCCAGACGCGGACGGCCGCTTCCTGACGCCGAGGCGCGGCGGCACAGCCTCTAAGATTAAGTCGGGCGTGTCCCTCTACAGGAGGAATATCAAAACATAGTAACACATAGTCTGGGAAAATAAAACACACACATTAATTTGAGTACATATATATATATATAGATATCGATATTTCCCTACCTAGGCTCTGCCTAGAGGGTTCTTACTCTCTTTCTTGAGGGGCCGGGCAGTGCACACCGCCCCAGGCGGTCCCCCAGTATCCGCCCCTCGGTTCCCCCAGTTACGTCCCCTTAGCTTAGCGTTGCTTATCTCATCTTAGCTTAGCTTATTTCATCTTAGCTTAGCTTAGCTTATTTCATCTTAGCTTATTCTCGTCAGTTGAAAACAAAGCGGGCTCCAGACACGCATGGGATCGCAGCAGAGATGTTGAAAGAACTCAAGAGAGTCTTGTTGGACACGTTCAACAACATTTTACGTCCTGACTCACCCACTCCCTCCAGCTGGAAACACACAGTGGTAAAGGTACTGCATAAGAGTGGTGACCCAATGCGTCCGGAGAATTACCGACCAATCGCAAGCATCCCAATGTTGTATAAGCTGTTCTCCAAATTGTTATGCAACCGCTTGGGAGATACATTAGACGAGCAGCAAAGCCCAGACCAGGCGGGTTTCAGACCCAAGAGAGGAACAACCGACCATTTGTTTACAGCGACGATCTTGCACGAGATCACAGACGAGTGGCAGGTCCCGCTCTGGATCGCAGCCATTGATTTCAAGAAGGCTTTTGACACCGTGACGCGCGCGAGCATATGGGAATCTCTTACAGAACAGCAAGTTCCGACTCCGTACATCACTTTGCTCCAGAAGCTGTACAGCCAACAAACAGGAGCCATCCACACCGACCGTCGCAGCAAAAACTTCGACATCGAGAGGGGCACGAAACAGGGCGACCCACTCAGCTCACTGCTTTTTAATTCTGTTTCCGAACATGTTATGCGGGTAGTGAAGAAGAAGTGGGCAGCACGGGGATTTGGAGTCAAATTGCACGCCCATGGTGGCGAGCTCTTGAATAACTTACGTTTCGCCGACGACATCCTCCTAATCGCGCACTCCAGCAGCGACATTGCAACTATGCTCTCCGACCTCAGCACAGAAGCGGCGAAGACAGGCCTCCACCTTCATCCAGACAAGACCAAAATTCTGCACAATGGACACCGGCACAAACGAACGATACAACCACCGAGCCACGTATTAGTGCACGACATGAAGATCGAAGTGTTGCCGCCATGCCGCTCCACCAAGTACCTCGGCCGAAAGCTGCAATTCAGCGAGTACCACAAGACCGAAGTGGAAAACCGAATTTCTGGAGCGTGGAGAAAGTTCCATTTACTCAAACAGGAGCTTACGGGAAGAAGCTATTCTATAAATAACCGACTTCGGCTTTTCCAGGGAACAATTACGCCGACAATGCTGTGTGGATGTGAGGCATGGACGGTTACTCAGGAGTTGGAAAACAGAATTCGCAGAACGCAGAGACAGATGCTTCGCATGATCATCGGAACGCCTCGAAGAAAGAAGCTGGAGTCATCAGAAGCAGCTCCCCGACGCAATCCCGATGGCGACAACGACGGCGACTACCCGGAAAACGACGATTCTTCAATTACCACAGGCAGCGGAGGGGATGTTCACAGCGGTCAACCACTTCCAGCCGCGGATGCTGACCAATTCCAGGAAGAATATACCCTTGAGCCTTGGCCGGATTGGATCCGTCGCGCAACGCAACACGCCGAACATAGTATTTCAAATTTGGGGGTCGCAGATGGGATTACCACAATCAAAAAACGTAAAAGGAAATGGTTGCAAGAAATGTGTACTAACAGTGCGAAAGAATGGGCGCAGCGAGTGTTACAATGGGAACCACAAAATGATGCACACATACATACACAACGCCGTGTTGGACGGCAAAAGACCAGGTGGTGGGACGACATACTATCCTACATTAAACGGTGTGTCGAAGACGCGCCACAACATGTTGCAGGGTTACTACGACTAGCGGGGACGGACACATAGGACAATTTGGAGTCTGGGTACACACAACAGTGAGTGTCCATGGTTACGCGGCTAATATTCTAGTGCCGTCATCGCCGTCTGCCTCCTCCTCCCCGTCTTTGTCCTCCTTCCAGACAATGTGATGTATCGAATCTTGTTGTTGTCGCGTTGTTTCACCAATAGCGGCGCCCCAGCGCCACCCTGCAGTGCCCCCGCGGCACCTTGACTGCAGGCCGCTTGTCCGCTTGTCATCTTAGCTCAGGTTCATCTTAGCTTAGCCTACCTTCATCTTAGCTTCGCTGAGCTTTAGCATAGCAGAGCACAGCATAGCATAGCGTAGCATAGCATAGCGCAGCACGGCGTAGCATAGCATAGCCCAGCATAGCATAGCATAGCATAGCATAGCACAGCGCAGCATAGCACAGCATAGCACAGCGCAGCATAGCACAGCATAGCACAGCACATCATAGCATATCATAACATAGCATAGCATAGCGCAGCATAGCATGGCATAGCATAGCATAGCATAGCAACTGATGCTGCTTTCCTAGGGGCTCCAACTTCTAGGTAGGGTCGCACTGGGGTAATTTGTTTTGTCCCAAATCCGCCTGTAGGAGGACACGCCCGACCTAACTCTAGAAATTAAGAATGATACACGCCCGACCTAACTCTAGGAATCAACGATGACATAACCAGAAGCATAAACTCTCGGAGGTCTGCGCGGACTTTCGAACGTTTATGTTTATGTAAATGCTTGTTCTCCGACAGCCGGCGGCGCCATCGGCGCTCTGACGGCGACGCCGACGACGGCGACTCTCAGAGGAGGACAGGCCACCGCCCATGAGGTCCTGGCCTTGCAGGTTTTCCGCACAGGCCGTCCTCTCGCCCAGTTTCGGGCGCCGAGAGCCTCACGTGTCGATCCGGCCACAGAACTTATGCAGAAAGATGGGGTCTGGGGCTTCAGCGGTAATTTTCAGTTTGTGTGATGTACTCCAGATTTCGTAATAAAAGGGAGGGGGTCTGGACCCTCCAAGACAAGCCATTTCAGACCCCCCCCGTGGGAGAACCCTCCAAAACATCGTCCCCAGACCCCCCCCAGGCCCTCCAAGATGGCCTGGAAGAGACCCCCCCTCAAATGAGACCCCCCTCCTTTTATTACGAAATCTGGAGTAGCAGCTTTCAGCAACCTCCGATCCGAGGGGGGGAAGGCTACCGATGCCGCTGCCCCCCTCTCTCGTTCTCGCCTTCCTTTTGGGCCTCCGGGGAGGCCTTCGTCGCCCCGGCCGGCGCTTCTCCTCGCGACGCCCTGGTCAGATGGCGCCCCCGAGGGGGTCCGGGGAGTAGTTTTGAGGCGGGCGTGGTTTTTTTTTTTTTTTTTTTTTTTTTTTTTTTTTTTTTTTTTTTTTTTTTTTTTTTTTTTTTTTTTTTGTTTTTTTTTTGTTTTGTTTTTTTTGTTGTTGTTGTTGTCGTTGTCGTTGTTGTTGTTGTTGTTGCTGTTGCTGTTGCTGTTGTTGTTGTTGTTGTTGTTGCTGGTGTTGTTGTTGTTGTTGTTGTTGTTGTTGTTGTTGTTGTTGTTGTTGTTGTTGTTGTTGTTGTTGTTGTTGTTGTTGTTGTTGTTGTTGTTGTTGTTGTTGTTGTTGTTGCTGCTGCTGCTGCTGTTGTTGTTGTTGTTGTTGTTGTTGTTGTTGTTGTTTTTTCATGTTTGTTTTTTGTTTGTTGTTTTTTTTCTTCTTTCTTCTTCTTGTTGCACAGGGGAAATATTCAAAAAGAGTCAAACAATAGTCCGGGGACGCTTTTTCGATTGTCTTCGGAATTTGTTTGGGGCATCATGGAAGTATTCTTCATTTCTCCGTCCAAGATCCGCCTGCAGGGGGGCCACGTCCGACCCAAGAGTAGCGGCATGGGCCTCTCCTGTCCCCCAGACTCGGCGGCGGTCGGCGGCGGCGCAGGCGCCGACGACGCCGGCGGCGGCCGGCGGTGGCAGCGGCGGCGCCCGCCGGCGACGGGGGGCGGCGGCGGCGGCGGGCGGCCGCTGGCCGGCGCCGAGGCGGCGGCTGGCGGCGTGGCCGCGTCCCGACGCCGAGGCCTCTTGGCCACGGCGCCGGCGCCGACGACGGCGGCAGCCGCGGCGGCGGCGGCCGCGGCGGACGGCGGCGGCAAGACCGCACGTCCGGGGCGGGCCGCGGCCAGGGGCGCCGTCGACGACGAGCCCCTGAGATCCGATGCAGCAAAACAAAGGCAGCATGGCAAGAAGTCACGGCCAGAGCCCCCGCCCCTTGTGCTGCTCCCATCGTGCGCAAGGGCCAAATCCCAGGAATAGTTTCGAGCACCCAGAAAGGTATCGAAACGGTGTTGAACGAGCGTCGCCTCCCAGGGCCCGACACGTGAGAACCTTCCAATCTCGGTACTTCCCTGGTGCCCGAAATCCTTCCCGGTGGCCAAGGCTGAAGTGAACCCGACCCCATCTTGCCGTGCCCTTCTCGGAGCCGGATCGATCTCTGAGGGTCTCGACAACACCCGTTGAGCACAAGAGAGCGACCCGTGCTCTCCGCAGCGGCCGGCGGCGCGGCTGGCGGCGGCGGCGGCGGCGGCGGCGATGAGGCCCCCGGCCTGGCGTGCGCGGGCCCCGACCTCCGAGCCGAGCCGACCCCGAGGCTGCCGGGTTCGAGGCGCTTCGGCTCTTCCGGCGTCCCCGGGAGGTGCTGCGCGCCCTCCGCGAAGCCGGGCGGGGCAGGCGGCGCCAGAGGCACCGGAAGCATGAGGCTCGACGAAGAAACCGTGTCGTGAAGAGACAGCGGCAGGAACATCACTTCTCGAAGGTCCGCGCGGGTTTCTCGGATCGGCGCTGGAGCCCCTTGGCGGCGCCGCGCGCCAGGGAAGGGGGTCCAGCGCCGATCCAAGGAATCCGCGCGGACCTCCACAAGTTTATGTGTATGTATTTTGTTGTTTCCCGAATCGGGAGGGCCGAAAGGGGTACGGAAAGAATTGGGACGAGGACCAGCACCAGTTCCTGCCCATTTTGAGCAGGACTCGCTGTCGGCGTCGCCGCGGGCGCTGCCCATTTGAGACAGAAGGTCGCCTGCCCAGCAGCGGCTAGTGTCGGCTTTGGGCAGCGTTTGCCGTTGGACGTCGTATCAAGTTTTCCCGTGCCAATGCGGCCTTGCCAGTCATCATAAACAGAAGCTTTCGGAGGTCTGTGCGGCTTTCTTGGATCGGCGCTGGAACCCCTATAGCGGCGCGCGGGGCGCCCCCAGGGGAGAGCGCCGGAGGCGCCGCCGGGGGATCCAGCGCCGATCCAGAAGTCTGTGTCGTGCCGTTTTCTCGTCCTCGGGGAGGCGGAGGACAGCACGACCCGCGCCCACCCCAACCTAGGGCTCCAACTCGCGACCTGGTGATCGAGAGTGTCCGGGCTGGGAATGGGGGTGGCTTGTTTTGGCTTCCAGACACTTGAAGAAAACACCCCCGCCCCCAGCCAGGACCCCCCCCGATCACCAGGCAGGGAGTGGGGGTCCTGGCAGTGCGGGTCCTGGCTGGGGGTGGGGGTGGGTTGTGCTGTCCTAAGATCACCGCCCACCAAACCACCCCAACGCAACCCGCAGGCCCGGCCCCGATTTGCCCTCCACTTCCAGTGGAGGGGGGGGTGGGGCTCGGCGAGCACCGAAGAAACACGCACACACACACACATGAAGCCCGTTCCTTCCCCCCCCCAGCCCGAACTTCGGGCGAGCTCCGGGTCTTCGGGTTGGGTTGGTGTGGCCTGGCCGTGCTGCCCTCGGAGGCGGAGCCTGACCCTGAGCCCCACGCGGTGCCTCCAGCGGGACTTCGGGTCCCCCGCGCGGGCCGCCTTCATCGCCGTGTCGGAGGAGGCCCAGCGCGAGGCGCCCCGCAGGCCCGCGGAGGGCTCCGGGGAGGCGCACGACGTGGGGGGGCGCCAGTTCCGGTTCCCCGCGGCGCCCGCGAAGGGGTCGGGGGCGGAAGAGAGGGGGGTGATGACCAGGGGTGGTGGTGGATATCACGGCGGGGGCCATGATATCTCCCCAGATCTCATGGCGCCTCTTCCTACTTCATCACGTCCCTGGCCCCCCCCGCTGGGCCGCGCACATGCCGCCGGTCATGGTTTGCACCCCCCCCTCTTGGACCCCCCCCCCCCTCTTGGCCGCTCCCGAAAGGGGGTTCAGCGGCACCGTAACGGGTTTTCACTGACGGGTACTTGGGGCAATTGCCGAAAGTTGCCACTTTGGGGCCTCTTTCTGGCATTGCAGCGTTGCCCACAGCGGGGATGATCAGTTCCGCCGGGCCACTGGCCAAAGTTCCCGTTAGTGGAGTCCCCGTTAGAGGGGCGCTGAGGGGTGGCGCCAGGGGGGCGGCTTGCCTTCCAGACCTCCGACGTATCGGAATAGGCATTTCTAAGGATGTCTTGAGCGTCGACTGGCGCCAATTCGCGTCTGGGAGTGGATGAGGGATCGCCGATTTCGCGTCGGCTGGCGTCGATTCAGCGTCGATTTAGCGTCGATTGAGCGTCGATGTAGCGTCGATTCGCGAGAGCCGGCACGATGGTGTGGGAGGCTCAGAGGTCTGTCGCGGTCTTCTAGCCCCCGGAGGCCCGCGCTGGGCCCGGGGGCTGGCAACAAGCGACTCGGGATGAGAAGCCAGCCCAGGGGAAGGGGTCGAGACTTCCGGAGACCGCACATGGAACAAATACACGCATCGCATCTCTGGGTTATTATCGGGGGCGGAAAAGAGGGGGGTGATGACTAGGGGGAGGCTGGATATCATGGCGTGGGCCATGATATTTCCCCAGATTTCATGGCGCCTCTTCTTATTTCATTACGTCCCTGGCCTCCCCGCTGGGCCGCGCACATGCCGCCGGTCATGATTTGCACCCCCCCCTCTTGGACACCCCCCTCTTGGCCGCTCCCGATATTAAGAAGGCGGAGCTGGGTTATTCAGCAGGCGGAGGGGCCTCTCAGGAGGCCCTGGACGTTGTTTTCGATCGTCTGGCGCGTGACGGTCGTTCTACCCTGGCCCCCCTCCTGTCCAGGCAACGGCAACGATCGTACGTAAGGGGGCGGGGGCGGCCCTCCCCCACACCTGCTGGTGCTCGCGCGCATACAACGGCGATCGTAGCGCACCACCGCCCCGACCACGTGCCTCACCACCCCCAAACGTTGCCGCTTCCCGCCCCCCCCCTCCAGGTAACGACCGTTACTGGACATGATGCAACAAAAACAATCTCCCAGAGGCTCCAAAACGGCTCCTCAGACGCCGGGCGGGCTTCCAAGAGGCCCCCTGCTCTCTCCGAGTCCCCGCCGCCTCCTCCAGAGCACCCCCGCCCCCCGCCAACCCCTGGGTGGGCGCCGCCGAAAGGTTCCTGGACGTGCTCGGCTGCGGGGCGTTCGGCATCGTCTGGCGGGCGCGGGAGCAGGACGGCCGTGCCTGCGGCGGCGGCGGCGGCGGCGGCGACGACTCGGTGCTGCGACCGCGGAGGGAAGGCACAGATGGGGGGCGGGCCGTCCCAGCAGGCTGCGAAAAGGCCTCCCGCCTTCCGGGAGAAGCCCTCTGCGCCTCCTCCGAGGCCGCGGGGTCGGCTCCTCGGAAGGCTTGGAGGGCCTCGGAGCAGCCCGCGCCGCCCTCCGAGAGGTCCTGCCCCCCCTCCTCCTCCTCCTCCTCCTCCTCCTCCTCCTCCTCCTCCTCCTCCTCCTCCTCCTCCTCCTCCTCCCCCTCCTCCCCCTCCTCCTCCTCCTCCTCCTCCTCCTCCTCCTCCTCCTTCCCCTTTGGGGCGGGGCTTGCCCTGGACGCCGGGTGCTGCTCGGGTCCTGCGCCGGCTCCGCGGCGGCCGGGGCGGGGACGCTCCGGCCACCCCCTCGGGAGCGACCCCTCGGCGGGGCGCGGCCGCCGGACAGCGCCCCGAGGCCGGAAGACTCCTCCTCCTCCCTCCTCCTCCCTCCTCCTCCCTCCTCCTCCATCCTCCTCCTCCTCCTCCTCCTCCCTCCCCTCCCTCCTCCTCCCTCCCTCCTCCTCCCTCCTCCTCCCTCCTCCCTGTCCCTGTGCTGGGCACCTCCTCGTCACGATGCCACTCTTCATTAGGGGTTCCTTTCTTTTTTTGGGGCGGATCCCTGAGATTGTCATCGCCTTGTGGCGTGTCAATCTGAGGGACGGGGATAAGTTCGAGGCTGGTAAGTCGGGAAGCGTCGAGGCTCCGCGCCGGGAGGTGTCGAAGCCCCCCCCCCCCCCTCGGGCGCCGCCGAGCCACAGGACAGCGACGCCGACGTCGCGGTCAAGGTTCAGGAGGGGAAGAAAACACACAGACACAATTAGTTCGTCGATCCCCCAGAAGATATGGGAGAATATGGGAATTGGGGGGGAAGACACATACCAAGAACACATGGGAAAATCATGGGGAATCCTATATATATATATTATATATATATATATATATATATATATATATATATATATGTGTGTGTGTGTGTGTGGTGTGTGTGTGTGTGTGTGTGTGTATGTCTTTGTGTCCCAGGGCCCCTTCTGAGGTGATCGGCTGCAAGGACGAGGCGAGCCTCGGCGTCGCGACCTTCGAGGCCGACCTGCTGCAGATGCTCACCGCGGCGAACAGCCACCTCAGGGGCCACGTGCCGGAGTACGTCGCCCACACCGTCGCCAGGCTGGGCGGCCAGGGGGCTCCTCCCTCCCTCCCTCTCCCTCCTCCCTCCCTCCCCCCTCTCCCTCTCCCTCCTCCCTCCCTCCCTCCCTCCCTCCTCCCCTGCTCCTCCCTCCCCCCTCCCTCCGCCCTCCCTCCCCCTCCTCCTCCCCTCCCCCCTCCTCCCCTCTCCCTCCCCTCCCTCCCTCCTCCCCTGCCTCCCTCCTCCTCCCTCCTCCCTCCTCCCTCCCTCCCCTCCCTCCTCCCCTGCTCCCTCCCCTCCCCTCCCCTCCCTCCTCCCCGAGGCCCGGCGCCGCGCAGGTCTCGTGCGGTGCCCCCCCCTGGCCCTGCTCGTGGCGAGGCTGGCCCCTGCCGGCTGGCTGCGCCCTCTGTCTGCCTGCCCCGTGCTGCGCCGGCGGCGGCTCCCCCCCAGGCGGTACCCTGAAGTCGGGCCTGTCCCTCCACGGGAGGACTGTTCCACAATAACATAACAAACAGTAAGGGGAGCTTTTTGTTTTGTTTTGTTTTGTTTCTTTCGTATTATATATACGTGTGTGTATATATGTATGTCTGTCTGTCTGTCTGTCTGTCTGTCTGTCTGTCTGTCTGTCTGTCTGTCTGTCTGTCTGTCTGTCTGTCTGTATGTATGTATGTATGTATGTATGTATGTATGTATGTATGTATGTATGTATGTGTATATATATATACACAAGACTGTAGTGGCGCTTCGCGCCATGCACCTTGGTCCTTGAAGTTTGGTATGCAGGCGGAATGGCAGGAAGGTCAAGCCGACAATTTAGCGATAACTCTTGGTTGCCTTTTCCAGCATCGCCGCTAAAATGATGTTATTCGTTAGACCTCCTTCATGCATCTTTTTCCTCGTTCTCGCGATACCCTGCGCATTTTCCCCATCCTCCTCCTCCAACCGCGGTCTCCCTGAACGACGGGGTCACGATTTGGAATGCTTGGGAGGGTGTCTTGGGGCCGTCTTGGGCCGCCATAGGGCTCTCTTAGGGCCATCTTTGACCCCTGTTGTGCCGTTTTGGGGCTCTCTTGGACTGCCTGGAAGCCCTTTCGGATGGTTGTGGGGCGATTTTGGAGCCTCCCAGTCGGCTTCGGACGCCCACAGGACTGCCGTATTGGAGCGTCGGGAAGCCGAAAAAGAGGAGAACCCCAAAATTCACCCCAAACCCGCAGAAAATCA